ATGTTCAAATGGTTGCTAAATTCGGATTCAGCTCCAAAAACTAGCCTAGAAACATGTAAAATTCGAAAAAGTACCGAGGTCATCATATGTCAATGACCTGACCTGACCTTCAGGTAACCTTGACACCCACCCTAATGCATGGGAGCAGCATCAACTCACATGTTTGAACGCTTGAAACCACGAAAAGACTGCAAGCGCGCGGCTAATGCGAGCCGGCATACGCCGAATCGCGATTCTGCCCAAACATGGTCTCGGAAAGTAGGTCACAGGTCAAAGGTCATTTGAGTCAGGGTCATGCAATTTCTATAGGGTAGGTGTAAAACTGATCAACGCGAGGGTACTGAAAGTGTTGTCGCGATCGGCCACTTTTTACGCGAGTTATTCGCGAAAACCCTTAGGGGGTTGCATCATCCCCTCCCCCTGCGCCGGCGAGGGTTAAAACTTCTTGTGAGCGAATTCACGTAATGAAGAAGGATAAAGGCACAATCTCCTACAGCAGCCAATAGATGATTTAGGACAGGCATATGGGAATACTTAAATATTGTCCGATAGAAGCAGGCAACAGCTCCGTTTACATATATGCTATGCAATATGCATATTGCGGAAGGGGCGGCCTCGAAAGATACGTATTCATACCTCAATCCTCATAAGTTACTAACATATTTCTGTCATGGTCAATTCGCGTAGAAATTGAACACCGGGTGATTACCAAGCTATTGTTCTATCAAAATTTTCCGATTCAAACTCGCTCAGGGTTATCGTGTAGGTAAAGGGGGGTCCGTTCAGCAGAATGCGTATAAAATTTGGAAAGATTCTGAAAAATGGGTGGGGGCCCGCACACTAGGGGGCCCGCTTTGGAGGCGATGACCCCCCCCCCCCGAAACGAAATCCTGGCTGCGCCACTGACGAGAGTTACGTGGGGGGAGTAATGGGGAGTAATGAAGAGTTCTAGGGAGAGTAGTAGAGGGGAGTAGTGATGGGTCGAGAGAGTTATGAAGAGTAATGGACGAGAATATTGAAGAGTTCCAGTAAGAGTTATGAGGAAAGTAGAGTAAAGGAAAGTAGCTCCCTGGTGTTTTAAGGAGTCATTTTTGGTAACTCTCGATAACTCTCCCAAAGGGAGTAAATATTTCTCTCAGTGTACTGGTGGTCTGCACGGTGGTGTGCTCGAAGGCGGGGGGCATTGAAGAAAATGATTGGTTCATTTCTTGGGCGAGGTCAAAGATGAGGTCGCCAAAGGTCATCTAAAGTCAATTTTTGCCCATTACAGCTTTTGAAACACGGGCGCGTAACTCGGGAACCAGTAAAGCTACAGCGTCGCGGAAAAGCGTGCTTGTTGGAGCTTTAACCCGCGCGGGGCTGGGGTCTCCAGCCGAACGCGCGGGGCTGGGGGGGGGGGTAAATTTTACCCCCCCTGTTATCTCTCGAACTAATGGTCCGATTTGGAAAATTCAAACGCCAATCGAAAGCTCTCATCACGAACTACTAAAAACATGTACTTAATTTAAAGTTTGAGGTCAAGGTCAAGGTCAGGTCAAGGGTACAAATTGCAAGTTTCTACAGTATCGGCCTTGCACCGTAGTTGCCGAAGAATGGAGTCACGGACTGAGACTGATCGCCCAAAACGTGTTCTTAGGCTACCAAGACAATATTAGTTGCATACAATATCATTCAGAGGTCAAGGTCAAGGTCAGGTCAGGTCAGGTCAGGTCACCAAAAAACAAAATATAGAAAAGGGCATGTGCGACACATGTTTTATGGGTCATTTTACTCATAGAATTCAATAGGCACACTCAATAAGTGATATGGACCACCTCTGGATGAATTTCAGGTCGAGGTCAGGTCAAGGTCAGGTCAAGTGAGGTCAAATTTTGAAGTTGGTTGTTAACCCGCGCCCTGGTGGGGGGGGGCTATTTTTTGCCCCCCCCCTCCAGACTTTTCGATATATCTCCAGAACCACTGCGCCGATCGTCACCAAACTTTCAGTACCCTCCCGGACATCAATTTTACACATTGTGACCAAAAATTTTTCCAAAGGCTATGATAGGTTGGCCGGAAATGACGTCAGAGTGACGTCATGTTCTGCCGTTTTCGACCCAAAAAAGGGTTTCGCGGGAAGAGCTGTCAGGCCTATAGCTTTGCAAATACAGAAAAATGATACAGACATAAAAGCTGTAGAATAAACAGGGCTACAAAACTGCTATCTCGGATTTTTGAAATTTTTGGATTTTGACCCCCAAAAATCAAAAAATAGATTTTTTGAATATAATAGCCAAAAAATCCAAAAAGTTTTTTGAATTTCGAAAAAACCGGAATATATGTGATAGTCCTTACCGCCTTCTATCTACATACCAAATTTGAGATCGATACCTCTTTTTTTGGCCAAGTTATAGCGAAAAAACTGTTCAAAATTGATGACGTCAAATTTTCAAACTCAATTTTCAGCAATTCTAGACCTCGTAGCGCAAAACAAAGACCACCATTAGACTCCCCGTGACGAGCTGCATCGAATCAATACCCATTTTATGCAAAAATATCAACTTTGAAATTTGACCTTTTTTGACCTGACCTTGACCTGACCTCCACCAGAAAGTGACCTAAACCGTTCCTGATGGTCTTATAACCAACACCATTGAGTTGGAAATGAAAAACTGGCCATAAAACATGCATCGCATAAACTTAGTAAAGTTGGGTTCATGTGGTGACCCTTGGTGACCTTTGGTGACCTGACCTGTGACCTGACCTGGTATGACCAGTGACCTCTAACAGCAACATATCTACTAGGCAACTGACGCCCTATCGCTGATTCCCGACAAAATGCGTTTTCCTCGGTGTTATAGCGCATTCCCTAGAAGACCCGTGAAAGGTGAAACATTTCATCTTTGACCTGACCTGTGACGTCATCGGTGACCCCGAGGTCAATAAAATTTGGTTTCCCTCGACAAATTTGACAGGCCTTTCGAACACCGTTTGAATTTTTCGGATCCGTCCAGTAGTTTCGGAGATACGAGGGGGGGCAAAAAATAGCCCCCCCCCCACCAGGTCTCGTTATAAACAGACCCCACCAGGGCGCGGGTTAAGGCCTAAAAAGGTGTCTATCTGATGCAGTTTTTCACGGCGAATCGAATGGTGCTATTTTTGTTTCCGTACGAGGTCTAGAACTTCCAAAAAAGTCATTTTTCAAAAATTTTGTGTGTCGTGACGTCATAAAATTTTGAATAACTCCCACATTTTTGAACCGATTCTTCTAAAATTTGGTATGTAGGTGCATATAGACCACTTCTCTGACATAAATTCCGGTTCGGGTTTCGATAGACTCAAAATTTTGGATTTTATAATGATTTTCCCAAAAAAATCAGTTTTTTGAAAAAAATTTAGGCCAAAATCCAAAATTTTCAAAAAAAAAACGAGATAGCCATTTGATAGACAAAGTAAAATTACGTATAACCTTTTTTGTTACGCCTTGATTCCTTTAAAAATGAAGATGTTAGCGGCGTTTGAACTTTTGCCGTTTTTGAGGCGAAAATGGCGAACATTTCTCAAAAATTTTCCGACGGATTTCGCTCAAATTTTCAGGGAAGGTGTCAAATTGATGTAAGAAAAGGTACTGAAAGTTTGGCGGCGCTGCGCGCCGCCGTTTTTGAGATATCGCAAAAATTCGCGAGGGGGGGTAAAATTTACCCCCCCAGCCCCGCGCGGGTTAACCCGCGCCCCGTAGGGCTACCGGCGGACCCTACCACCCGTAGGGGGGGGGCGTTTCGGCCCCCCCCCCCTAAGATCTCGGAAAGTTACCGGCCGATTTTCAAAATTCAAACGGCGTTTGATAGCCCTACCCGGGAACTACCTTGTGACCAAATTTCATTGACCTAGGTCAAACCGATGACGTCACAGGTCAGGTCAAAGGTCAGATTTTCACCGTTCACAGGCAATTCAAGAAATGTGCTGTGAAATCGAGTAAATTGGTAATTTATTGAAAACCATCGATGGTATATTGTTCGTCAAACACATACTTTGCTATCTGAGGTCACTGATACCAGGTCAGGTCACAGCGAGGTCAGGTCACCGGGGGTCACAATATGAATGTGTCGTGTGATACATGTTTTATGGTCCATTTTACATCACAAATGCGATTATGTGGGTTAGGCAGCCTTTGGGGCCAGCCTGGGTCACGTTTTGGTGAAGGTCAGGTCAAGGTCAGGTCAAATTAGGTCAAATTTCAAAGTTGATATTTTTGCATAAAATGGGTATTCATTCGATGCAGCTCGTCACGGGGAGTCTAATGGTGGTCTTTGTTTTGCTCTACGAGTTCTAGAATTGCCAAAAATTGAGTTTGAAAATTTGACGTCATTATTTTTGAACAGTTTTTTTCGCTATAACTTGGCCAAAAAACGAGGTATCGATCTGAAATTTGGTATGTAGATAGAAGACGGTAGGTACTATCACATATATTCCGGTTTTTTTCGAAACTCAAAAAACTTTTTGGATTTTTTGGCTAATATATCCAAAAAATGCTTTTTTAAATTTTGGGGATCAAAACTCAAAAATTTCAAAAATCCGAGATAGCAGTTTTGTAGCCCTGTCAATTCTACACCTTTTATGTCTTGATCATTTTTCTGTATTTTCAAAGCTGTAGGCCTGACAGGTCTTCTCGCGAAGGTCTTTTTTCGGTCGAAAATGACAGAACATGACGTCACTCTGACGTCATTTGTGGCCAACCTATCACAGCCTCTGGAAAAAAATTTTTGGTCACAATGTGTAAAATTGATGCCCGGAGGGGTCCTGAAAGTTTGGTGGCGATATCTCCAGCCGTTTAGGAGATATCGACCGAAAAGGACAGGGGGGGGGGGCCGTTTCGGCCCCCCCCCCTACGGGGCGCGGGTTAAGCAACCATTTGAACATTTACGAACTAGTTTGGTGCCCTCGTTACATGTTACGGAGCTGTCAGTGGTGGTCCCTGTCAAATCATTACAACAATATATTGCAGCATTTTTGCAACTTACCATGCACTATCAGACTTAATGACCTTCGCCGTCATCGTGTCATTTTTAGAAAATGGGTGTTTTCCCTCGGAGAGAACGTAGTAGAAGACCAGGCCGAGGGAAAACACGTCTGCTGCCCCAACCTGAAATCAGAAATTATTTCAATTTACGGCTTTGGCGCAATTTTTAGCATAGGTAAAAAATTGTTCACCCCTTCCAGTGGCGTATCCAGGGGGAGGCCAAGAGGCCATGGCCTCCCCCTTTGGCATCAAACATGCAAGTGGGCCCTTTGGGTCACTTGAGCGCAGTGACGTACCCAAGGGGGCCATGGGGGCCCTGAGGGGCGCCCTGGTTACTTGAGGGTCCCCCTGATCACCTGAGCGGTCCCTGGTTACCTGAGGGGCCCCTGGTTACCTGAGTGGTCCCTGGTTATCTGAGGGGCCCATGGTTATCTGAGGGGCCCCTGGTTATCCGAGGGGGCCCTGGTTACCTGATTGGTCCCTAGCTATCTGAAGGACTCCTGGTTACCTGAGGGGCCCCTGGCAACGGGGGCCCTGGTTACCAGAGGGGCCCTGGCTATCTGAGGGGCCATGGTTACCTGAGGGGCCCCTGGTTTCCTGGGGGGCCGCTGCTTACCTGAGGGGCCCCTGATTACCTAAGGGACCCGTGATTGCCTGAGAGCCCCTGATTATCTGAGAGGCCCCTGGTTACCAGTGGGACCTCTTGGTATATACCTGAGGCGCACCTAGTTATCAAAGGGGCCCCTAGCTACCTGAGGGGCCCCAGATCCCCTGGGTGACCCCTGGCCAGTGATCTGAAGAAACCCTGGTCACCTGAAGGGCCCATGTTTACCCGGGGAGTACCTGGTATTATGAAGGGCCCCTGCAGTCACATAAAGCATTTTTATATATGTGCGACCGATTATATGCGACTGTTTATATGTGCGACTGACACAGCTTAAAATGGACAGGATGGCTGAAGACATCAGTCAGGTGAGGCAGCTGGTTCAGTCATTGCAGCAGCAGAACGGCTGTCAACCTGAACGCTCTTCAGCGTGTCATGCCCAGTACCCAGCAGAGGCTGACACACAGCAGCTACTGACAGCTGAGGACTTATCTCGCCAACACTGGACGACCGCTGGAGAACGGCACGCCGGTCGCCAGCCCGCTAATGCAGGGACTTCTCTGCTGGTGATCGGCGACTTCAACGTGAGGCGCCTCGAGGGAATGAGTGAACGCGGCCCCAGTAAACCCGCTTTTCACTCCATCTCAGGTGCCACTACCGAGCACGTGAGACAGGACATCAGCCAGGCCATACGCAAATGTGGTGCTAAACGGGTTGTTATACATGCTGGGACTAATGACGTAACTCGCAAAGGATCCGAACTGGTCGCAAAGGATATATTCAGTTTAGCTGACCAAACTAAGCGTAGGGATGGTGTAAGCGATGTGTTTATATGTAGTATAATCCCAAGAAAGGACAACGGATCCTTCATCTACAGCAGATCTGAGAGCGTCAACAATAGGCTGCGCACTCTCTGCTCACAGAGTCCTGACATCAAATTTATTGACTTGCGGCAGGCTCTGCACAGCTGTAGATTCAGCGGATTAGCGAGAGACGCAGTTTACTACAATAGGGAGGGTGCCACGCAGACCCTCAGATCGATCTTACAGTTGACAGGAAATACTTTTTATAGGGTCTGAGCACCGAAGACCCAAACATAGTGTAGTTAATGAGCCAGCCAAGGAATCGTCAGGTTCCCCAGTCCCCGCGTCTCGCACCTCGCCTTCCTTGCCATCAGTAGCCGCTGCCTTGGTCTCGAGTCCATGTAGAGTGCTGGGTACCAGCATCAGCCATAGTCGCGTGCCGTCATCAAAATATGTCTTATCAGTAGGTAACCTGAACGTAAGATCTTTGACACCCTCATCAGATATTGTGTCAGATTATGTTAAGCGTCACCACATTGATGTGATGTGCCTTACAGAGACTTGGCTAAGGAGGGGTGAGCCTGATGTACCCATTGCCAGTATGAAGTTGGCCAGTAGAGTCGATAGGTCGAGGAAGAAGAGCGGCGGTGTAGCCATCTACTGCCGCAATGACCTTACGTTCTCGAAACTCTCTAGCCCGGCTCTTCATGGCTCCAGCCGGCTTGAGTTAACTTGGATAAATGTACAGTGTGGCCATAACCGAGCACTGGCCATAGGTTGTGTCTATAGACCGCCCAAGTACGATGGCATTAACCCGCGCCCGGCTGGGGGTCCTGGATTTCCACGCCCTGCTGGGGGGGGGGTGTTTGAACACCCCCCCCCTTCTAACTCGGCTCCTGGGCCACGTAGCGATACGCGGAAGGCGGCGTTCGAAAGAGCGTCAAAAATAATGAGGAAATCACTTCGGTCAATTTTTTGGTCAGGTCAAAGGTCAGGTCACCAGAGGTCATTGAAGGCAAAATTTCGCCGATTTCCAGGTCGAATGTCGAAAATTTCCAAGAAGCCAACGCATAACTCGGGAACCAATAGAGCTACAGCGCTGCGGAAAAGCGCGTTGGATAGCCCTATTAACGCCCTTTCTGAGTAATTCTCTCAGATTTGACCTAGCGTCAACGGTTTTGCCTGCAGGGGGCAAAAACTGCAAAAATAGCCGATTTTTTCGGAAACAGTTTTTCTGCAATAACTTTTGACCCAAGCCTTGTACGAGTTTACTTTTACCGGCATCGTGTTCCTCTCGTCAAGACACATCGAATGAACTATAACTTGACCTTGAAAGGTCAACTTGAAAATTTGACCTCAGGTCAAGGTCATGACCTGACCGGAAAGGGTCATGTTGCATATCAGTCGATCCGTATCGTCGAGCTGAACACATCTAAGGCGTTTTCATCGCTCTGGCATGCCTCTATCAAAAGTTATTTGCGAAAAACTGTTCGATACCATTCGTGACCTAAGATGACCTCAGGGCATGAACAGGGGTCACGGACACCAATTTCATGTTCAGTGTGTCTAAAACACTTGTAATTCAGTGTTTGGGAGTGTTTATAATGTCTTTCGTCCAAAAGAGGCGCATTTCAATTTTCTCCCATTGACTTATAATGGGGAGGTCGCAAAATTGACCTGACCTTAGGTCATCGATATCAAAATTCGGAGATATACATTTTGTACATGCTATTGCTCTCAGCAATCTCTGAAAGTTTCAAAGTGATCGGTCACTCGGTGTAGCTATGACAGACATTGAAGCTTTTTATGAGGTGAGGTCACTTCAAGTGACCTGGTGACCTGACCTTGAATGACCTTGGTCTGAAATTTTTACAACATGTGTAGAATTGATGTATGATAAGGTGTACCAAAAAACGGCGGCGCTCCGCGCCGCCGTTTTTGAGATATTCGCGAAAAACCACAAGGGGGGTGTTCAAACACCCCCCCCAGCAGGGCGCGGGTTAAATTAGATTTTGAGGCGCTAGAGCTATCGATTCAAAAGCTCTTATCGGCAGGTAAATGTGTTGTATTGTGTGGCGACTGTGATATGCTTCAACCAAACCTTCCCCACGTTCGATCACTGCTTTCTGTCATCGGCAATACTGGACTGCAACAGTGCGTCAAGGCCCTAAATACAAGGTCGCACGGACTAATTTCTACTACACCTACCAGAATATAGTTTCACGGTTAGATATTTTAATAACTATTCAATCAAAACTTCTTTATTATTTTCTCGTTATCATTTATAAGCAATTTCATAAATTGACTTTCAATTTGCTTGCCTTTTACTGGCAAATAACTTTCTAGTATTGGGTCAACATAGTTGTGTAGCAGTAGGAACCATATCTGGCAAAACCCCAATGCCTACATACAGCAGAAAAGCAGCCACCAGGTGTCGCCACAGTCGCCACTTGGTCGCCACACAGATGTCGCGCGCGTCGCCAATCGCCACACTACCGATTTCCATAAGGACGCATATGTACGGATATGTATTGGAAAGTCGCCCTTAAGGATTACGCTTACATCCTTTGCTTATGAGGTCGGTGGTTGGAAATTGGGAGGAGCTCAGCTATTTTCGACCACGGATATGGCTTTATCACATGATGAGGAACATGCTGATAAGCGTTTTATATGTCATAACAGCACAAAAGTATTTTTAATCATTTTTTCAAAAATAGCCGTTCTGCCGCATCTTTCAGTGCAAGGTGCCGTCGGTCATCCCCGACGTTACGTCACGCCGGGGATTGCCAGATTCTCCTACTAGACTTCGACGCCCCCTGCAGTGCGTCAGCCACCCGACCCGCATTACAAGCTCTAGTTCCACCCTCATTGACATAGTTCTTGTTAGTGATTCTTCTATTGTGACAGAATGCTCTTCGCTAGACTGTATTGCATCCGATCATAACTTAGTGATAGCAAAAATTAAAGTAAGGAGAACTAAGGTGAAATCCAAAGCAATAACATTCCACAACTGGAAAAAGATCGATTTTGAGTCATTTTCTAGAGATTTACGGACGATTTCCTGGTCACAAATAGGTGATGATACTTCTCTTGATGAGGCTTGGAAAGGATGGACAGACTCTGTAACTCCTGTCATCGACCAAATTTGATCTTTGTCCAGCAACGCTGGCCGAACTTCGTTCTGTAGTGCGTTCACTGAAAATGCATTCATCAGCTGGTCCCGATAAGCTGCCTACATTTTTATTTAAGTCTTTCTCAGGCAGGCAGCTTCTGCCGCTTTTGCGTATTTTGAACGCCTCCATCAACAGCGGTACCATACCACTGTGTTGGAAAACTGCAGAAGTTGTCCCTATTTTTAAGGGTAAAGGTGACCCCAGGGATGCGACTAATTACTGACCGATTTCTCTGTTAAACGTTGTGTCTAAGATTCTTGAAAGAGTTGTTTCACTTCAGCTTAACCCGCGAGTTGCTGGGGGGGGGGGGCGTTAAACGCCCACACTTTTTTCGCCGGGCCATAGCATAAAAACGGCGCGCCGCAGGCGCGCCAAATTTTGGGTACCTGTAGGGAATTGATTGAAGTTTATTGTGACAAAGTTTCAAAAAAATCGGTCGGAAAATTTTTGAGATATCGAGGTTTTAGTGACGTCATGATTTCTGAGTTTTCGACCAAAAACGGCATATGTTAAAAAAATCATATAAAATCACAGAATAGACAT